GCATCCTGCATTCAGACTTCTCTAAACTCTTAAACTATGAAACAATACATTTCTGTTTAAAAAAAACACTGAAAGAGTGTCATACAATTTGGTGGGTAAAAGGAGAGTTGTTGTTTGTTGTTATGTGCCATCGAGTAGCTTACGACTCATAGCGACCCTATGTTCAACAGCCCTAAACTCTACTCTGTCTTGTGCCAACCGCACTGCCTCTGACACTCCCATCCCAATAACCCCAGTCACCGAATCAATCCACCTCATAGAGGGCCTTCCCCTCCCGTGCTTTCTCTCAACCCTCCCTAGCATGATGTCCTTTAGGTAAAGAAAATAGAGAAGATTCAGCGGGGATCTGGAAAGACAATGCAATGGTGGTCATAGTTCCATGATGATGAATTTTATAAAGTGTAATGAATGGGGATGACTGTATGAAACACAATGTGAATAAAGGATAGTGTGAAAAACAATGTATGCAAACTTTGCAAGCAAACCAATAGAAAATATTTTTATTAATGTGAGGCATTCATCTAAGTTAGAATTCACCACTTTGCACAGAGTTGTCCCAACAGCACCTCACTAAAAGTCAGGAGCCACATGGGAGTCATCCCCACAATAACCGGAGAGAAACAATACAGCTTGACCAATGCTGTTGCTAGGTGCTTGATTGGGTTCCCGTTGACAGTGACCCGATCTATACACATCAGAAAGAAATACGTCTGATTCTTGTGCCATCCTCACAATTGTTGCTATGTTTGAACCTATTGTTGTAGCCATAGTGCCAATGCATTTCATTCAAAGGACATTTATTATTGCACTCCTCTGGAAGTCTAGGAACTGTTCTGAGGGTTGATAATTTAGTGAGAACTAAGGTTCTTTGCAGCGTTCTACTCTGCTCTTTAACAGCAAGGATATTTCTGCAAAGGAGCAAGGATGACCATACATGGCTTAGTTAGACCGATCAAAGTTCATTCCCTGGAAGAGGAAGAGACACTTTCCCTAGACATACTGCTACATGAGCCAAGTCAGTGTTTGCTTATAAGGAAAGAAGAAAAAAGAAAGATCCCAAAGTGTGGGCAGCAGCAGGGATACTGTCGAATGGCAAGGATCATGCTATTGAATGCCTGAGAAGTGCAAAGCCCAGGGCCTGGCCTACAGAGAGAGCTCAATAAAGGTCAGCTTTGCCAACCCCCTGAGGCTGTTGTCCTGGAGGGCAATTCTGTGCGCTCACAAAAAGCAGACCTTCCTATTCTTTCAAAAACAGAACAGGGCACTGAACTTGATGGATCACAGGCCTGGCTCACAGCATTTGGATCTTCTCTGGGTTCCTTTGTGAGGAAAAAAAAAAATCCTCACACATTAGGAAACTTTCCTGTCTACTGTTATGAAAAAAATGAGGGAGTTGAAACAAGTTGTTTCAAACCTCGTCTTACATGTAGGAATGATTTCTTCTCCAACCCTCTTGTACCATTTCACTGACAGGGAAGCACCAGGTCTTTTGTTCAGAATACAAAACATGGTCAACTGTGGGAAACTTACAGCTTTCCCCCAATTCTTATATGCACATCAGTAGCAACAGCTGGGAGGAATCAAGAACATTACATGATCCAGCCAGCTGTTGCCAAAATACCAGTGCCCCTAAGTAGCTAGCAACAGCGGGCCTTCATTTCTATGGTTCTGGATCACTAGGTTGTCTATATGCAGATGGATTTGGGATAGGTTCTATTTGGTTTGCCTGAAAGCTTAAGATTGGGTTTAGCTTTATTCTTTATCATGATACATTAGTGGTACTGTGGTAGAATGGTTGCCTTCTGTTTTGAAGACCTGGGTTCGATTCCTGGCCAATGCACTTGACCCCCAGCCATATCTGCCTATCAGTGAAATCTCATAGGTTGCTATAATTCTGAACAGGTTGCTGTGGAGTTTCCTAACTGAGATGGCCTAGGATGAAATATACTGAACATCAGCCAGCACTTAGGGCTCCCTGGGTCGGATGTGCAAGTGACCACGGGGAAGCTGCAGGGCCATTCCTAACAGCATCAAGATTCCATGACTTTGCTCTGCTCAACAGCAACCAATAATAACATATCTCCTTAAATCAGAGGTTCTTTGATGTCTATTGATTACCTGGTCATCCCAACCTCACAATCAAGCTAAATCTCTGTTTGTCTCATATTTGCTAATTTCCCACTGGCCAAATCAAATGATACAGTCCAATATCGCAGGGGATGCATACATATATAGTGTGACTAGTTGAAAACTATAAGGTCACATGATATCAAACTATAAAACTATAAGATTACATGGTAAAGATATTGGGGGCAAAGAATGGGGATCCATCAATTGAGCAGTCATACATGGAGGCTATATTCCTCTTTTCATATATCTTAGAGATCATTTTCAAACTTTCAGATTCTTCTAGATCAAGGAAATTTTAATTTTTCTTGCTTTCCTAAGCCACTGTGATAATTTAAACCTATTACAACCAATAATCTTTCTAATGAGTCATTGAGATGTTTATGTTAAAAAAGAAAGAGAACAAAGGAAGGAAGGAAGGAAGAGAAGAGAAGAAAACGAAAAGAGAAAACAGAAGAGAAGAGAAGAGGAGGGAAGGAAGGAAAGAAGGAGGGAGGGAAGGAAGGAAGGAAGAAAAGAAAAAGAAAATGAGAAGAGAAGAGAAGAGAAGAGGAAGGAAGGAAGGAAAGAAGGAGGGAGGGAGGGAGGGAAGGAAGGAGGAAAAAAGAGTTTTAATATGGAAGAATCATGTTTTTGAATACTGAGACCCCAGAGCTTTGTTAGTTCTGTAAGTAGAATTCTGTTGTACTCTAAAGAAAATGAAAGTGTGAACATGTTGATGCTGTCTTGGGATAGCTGGCAAGGCAGCCTGCCAGTTGGCAAAACTATGGACGCCATACACAGATTTTTGTTTGGGCACATGTGATCCAAATAAGGCGAGCCACTCTTGAAAGAGATTCTTGGTAGCTCACATTCTTCAAAGTTAAATAAAGCCAAGGTAAAATCCAAAAATGTGTGTAAGGGTCAAATGTGAGGCCCACCTGGTTCACCAGGTTCATTGTCAAAAATCAGTTCCTTTATGGAAGCGGCTGATCAAAACATCTTTTTGGATGTACTGAAACAACTAATAGATTCTTGCTGGATTTGGGGGATCTTTTGACAAGTTTACAAATAGTAGGCTTTGGAGGCAGAAGACAGGTAGCATAAAGATTTAAAGGAAAAAGAAAATATTTTTCTCTTTTCTTCAAATTGTTTATTTTTTTAAACTCAATTTATTGCAGTATGATTTACATATACTGAAATGTGCCCATTTTAAGTACACTGCTCTGTGACCATCATAGTAACCATCATAAACCCACAACGGGCTATAGTGTGTCAGGACAGGTGAGGCTGACACGGGATGGGACGGGGTTCTGTTGCTCATAGGTGGTAGGCATCTAACAACGATAACCATCACTATGTCCATGTCATTAAATTCTTTGGGCATATAACAATTTGTTTATACATTTACCTTTTGATTGCCATTTGTTTATTTCAATTTGGGGGTCTTATGGAGAAATCAACATTCTTGAAAAAAAAATCTCTGTGAATATGTTTTCATTTCTCCAGCGAAATACCTGTAAGGAGAATTTCAGGATCTGTAGGTATTATTTCATACCCTCTCCAGCAATGAATAGAGGTGGTTTGGTGACTCGGTGATTAAAGTATTAAGTTGTTAAACGACAGGTCAGAGGCTAGAACCCACAAGCCACTGCCTGGGCAGAAAGATGAGAGAGCCTGGTTCTGTACAGATTTACAGCCTCAGAAACCCTATGGGGCCCTGAAGGCCCAGTGTGAGTCGGAACCAACAGACTCCACTCAGCAGGGATTTATTTTGGTCTTTGGTGTCCAGCAATGGTTGAGCGTTCCAGTTGCTTCACATCCTTTTCAACATTTGGCATTATCAGTCTTTTAAACTGCAGACATTGCAATGGTCGTATGTCCTCCAAAGTAATACAATTTCTAAATATTTATCTAGAGAGAGAGAGAGAGAGAGAGAGAGAGAGAATGAGAATGAGAGATTATCACTCTGGACAAACTTCCTCTCAAAAAACAATTCTTCCCTCTCTCTTTTTTTCCCCTCTTTCTCTTCTTACGGAAAACATACACCATGTTCTTTGTCAATCCAGCCTCTTTTACACATACATTTTGCAGACACCTCAACCACACACTCACACGCAGTGAGGGTTCCCCAAAGAGCTCCCACTCAGAGCCTGTCAGATGCTCTCTTCTCCGCTAATAAATAATCATTGTCTCCTCAAAAAGCTGGTTCGGGGCCAATGCCATTACAGCCCCCAGGATGGCTCTCGGTGGTCCCTTTATCAGTCTGGTCCGGATCCAAAATTCCCGAGCTGCACAGAGCTCAGGGATGCCCCTGGCACCTAGACAGCAGGGCACGGGGCATGCTCAGAGCTCGCGGTGGACGCAGGCGGCGGCTGCAGTGCACCCGGCAGCCAGGAGGTGCCGCTGCGCCCCCGCTGCCGGCGCCTGACCCCGCGCGCGAAGTTGGGCTGGAACCGCGGGGGGAAGGAGGGAACGAGCGAGCGCGGGTGGCGGGC